TATATATATATATATATATATATATATATATATATAAACTAAAACATATGTATTTTTTCAATTTGTATGGGTAACATTTCCAGATATTTGTAGTGATTTGTTTGCTGTGTGAGGTTGTAATTTTAACAAACAACATATCATAAAGTAGTTATCTTGAAAATGGCAATCACTATATATGCAACCTTCAACTACGTAGTATTAGAGGAATGCTTACCCAATAGTTGAGCTTCAGCATCATCAAACCCGAATTTGGCTAAGCGTTGCATCTTTCGGTTTGCGTACTGCATTGGTTTTTCTTCACGTACGTTCAGGTTATGTTCAAGTTCAGGCCATTTCTTTATGAGGTACATGCCAGCATCATTAGAACGGCATTGAAAGGCTACATGCAGGGCAGTGTCCTAAGTGATATAATAAACAGTCGATCAGTAGATGTGTGTGCGAAGCTTTCTTGAATTTGAAATACACCATTGTTTTAGTTGTGGGTCATCATCCAACCGGAAATCCCTCTCTCTTCGAACCGGAAGCACTTAGCTAGGACATTGATGTGGCCATCTCTATAATCAATAATAAGAAGATATCAGCACAAGTATGTATAATTTTCTAATCATATATGATCCTCCCTTTTAAAGCACTACACCTTTCCCTCTCCACTTGCATCAATTTGCGAAATATTATTTTGTTTAGAGCTGTTTTATCACTGAGCTTACCCCTTCTGAATTCAGTTGGTTCAATGTATGTGGGTCGTATTCGTTTTCAACAAGACGTTCCATTAATTCGAGATCATTATTCATTGCTGCAGCGGAGAGGTCACCAGCCTTTAAAGAAAAACGTGAAATGTTATAGGTGGGGTGTTCCGAGATAAGGCAATAAATGCCATTAATATTGTTCGCTTTCGTGAATAATTATTGTTCCTCTAAATTCTAGCAGTGCAAATACAATGTCAGTTATAGATCGAAGGCGACAACTATGGTTGTCAAATTCGCCACGCTAAGACATAGGGATTGGTCAAACGGTGTTTAATCATTATTTAGTAATACATTATATACAAGAAACCACAAGCCTTTGTGAAAACGATTGTAACTGAGGTTGTATAGCGGATCGGAATAGGACCTTACAAACCAGTGAATGGGCGATAGTTTCATCATGGATTCCGGAACATGCCATATTGCCATTTAACGTGTAGTGGCTACGTAAAACAAAGTAACCTGTTTTTAACAATGTTCGAACAACAGTGAACGAAAGTGGGAAAGAAAAACTTACAGCATTATCGATTCGTCTTTTCTTAAGATGAATATGTAATTTAAAAATGTGACATATGTCGCTTTTGTCCAATAGAAATGTTGGAGGGCCGGTGTCAGGATCATGGTTGGGAAAAATAGCTGTCAATATCAAATACGATGCTCCTTGTAACGGACCCGATAGCTGCTGTGATCCTACGAAATGGACAACATGAGGAGTTGGTGAAAACATTAGGTTGCTTGTATGTTACAACCGTTTGGCTAAGGGACCGTTATATGATAGCGATTTGCGAATCTGAACTAAATTGAGCCATACAGGTACACTCACCACCAGGCCACTCCATGCATATACGATCATCTTCACCTCGGCGGGTACTGAGTCGCCATTGTACGGCGTCGTTGCGGGTGCACTTGATTTCACCGCGGTCGATTTCATATGCACCAAAATCGAACTTCCATGCGACAAGAGGGACGTTTTCCCACTCGTCTGGCTACGAGAATAAAAAAAAACGAAAAGAGAGAAGCAGTTCAAAGCAATTTTCTTAATTTATGAAAGCCATATTCTAAAAGACTGTAGAAAGGAATGGAAAGGAACGAAAAATACAGTGTCTGGACAGTCATTGGATGTGTATTGTTCTTTCGTTTCGTCCATACATTTAGCAAGTTCACTAGTAGGACCTGTCTGGATGGGGGACATTTTTTCCTACTCGTCATTTTGTCGGGGTGTTTTGTTCGGGACATTTCGTCCGGGCACCAGTCACGGACTGCTATGTACAGATTGCTGTGTCATAACTGATTGGCTGTCTCCATGACTCCAGTACATTGCCATGTGAACACGTATGTGCGGTTTCAGACCGATTCATTAGTCGTAGATTCGTCTCGCATAGGCGGCGGATTACGGATTACCAAGAGTGATCCCTCGGGGGATGAACTTTTCACTTTTTTCACTTTTTGTCAGCGTGAACACTCATGGTATGTATTCAGTACCTCAGATTAACTAACTCACATCGGCGGGATTGCGCTGTTTGCGTTGACATTTACGCGTATACATTTGTGAAGTAAATATTGTTGCCACATGACGACCACTCCAATTCCGGAATTTTCTGAGAAACAGGTAAGCTTGGAGACGACAAATAAGAGTACTTCGAACGCACTTAATTATGTGTGTACTGTAAGACATTAGCACAATGAATTAATACCTCCTGTTAAATTATAGCTGGCTGTGTAACAAACAACCCTGTGGACCATGCAAATTAAATTTCCCATGACGCACTGGTGCAGCCCAAGGATCTGTTGAGTCGCGGTTTAACCAATCAAAACAATAGCCTTCCTGTCATCCTCGACGTCACGTAACTTTCTCGTCGCTAGAGGGCGCAACGTATAGGAAAGGTATAGTACAGATACAATATGAATACGAACATGTATTTTCGAAGGTTGTCTGTTGCTGCGTGTTGATGACCAAATATGATTGTTATCGCACGTATAAAAACAGTCAGCGCGAATACGTGTTGACAATGGCATTGTTCACCGTCATAATCCAATGTCACCGGCATATGGCGTCAAACATCATTAAAAAAAATGCACGCACAAATCCACCTTTCATATTTAACATATCTGTTATTTATTTTGAAAATACTTACCATAGTCGCACTTTTGTAGACGATATTTCTGTGCAAGTAAGTGCCTGCTTCCCATCCATCGAGACGTGTGATAACTCCTTCATTCCGGTCTCCACGTTCATACTGGCCTCGTTTTGATGAGTACTGCAGGTGAAATGTGCCGACGTCTCTTTCCTTGTGGTTCAGCACAAACACGTTTCCTCTTGCTCGACAAAACCGCTGACGAGACAACAAAACTGAATTACGTAGGCGCAAAGCTGATCCACAACTTTACATTTATTCACATACATTTCACCACTGACACAAGAAGAATATATATGTAGTATAATAAAAAAGAAAATGTGTGGCCACGTGTTAATAAATTATATACATATTTATATTGTTCTGAGAATATGTTGCCCTTATCGAAAGCTGATCAAGGTTATTTGTGTGATATTAATCTCAGTAATGCCATTAATGCATACGAAGTGCTTGCAATGTCTCTTACGTGCTCTCAAAACATATTTTACATATCTACCTTTGTCTCGTGGTGGAAACTAGGAGTCGTCATTTCTGTGTGTGTTTAGCTATACAGTGAACTCAGAAGAAGGTCTGTTGACTAACGAAAATATAAGAAGAGAGATGTTATTTTATCTTTTTTTGTTTATCATAAAAATGGTTAGTGTCCCGTGTGAAAGATCTGGGGATGTACCTCATTACTATGAATATGCCGAATTGGCCGCTTTGCCCTCGTATTCAACTTGAAGTATTCGGCACTTTAGGGAGTTCATTATTGTTATTATTGAATATTAAAACGCGCTCAGGTGTTTATTCCGCGAGGATATTGCCCAATTTTACTTATTAACGCAATTTGACTAAACCTGATTTATGTGCCTGCTGGTTGCTAGCCACAGAATGGCCCAGGAACATGTGCATGACTATTTATATTCGATATATGTTGAAACACGCACACAAATACTGAGTAGCCTGTAATCGTTTCATTTTGAGTACATCCGATAATGATCTGGTGAATTGTTATATAGTTTCATACTATCAATTAGAAAACCACAGAAGACAATGCGTCTGGATGAATTAATCTAGAACTAGTTTCAAAGATACAAATTTGCTAAAACAAAATGTATGTGATCAAGTCCTACCAGAAATACACATATCCAGCTCAAACTTCAACAAAATGGAGCTAAACAAATACAAATATATATTTTTTTTTTGAAAATACGTTTCTTAAAGATTTCTAGAAAAATGGTCAGGTTTTGCAATGTCTACTCGACCAGATTCACCGATCAACGGTACAGGTCAAATAACAAAGTTCATGCAGCAATAGTACTTTCTTCCGACAACAGCATCGCGTTTAAAATGAAACGCAAAGAAAAAAATCCGTTGGCTAACAACAATCACACGAGCACTCACTACTGGCTTCATCGTGATAAGTCTATTTGTTCAACCGAAGACGGCATCTACTATACACAATGAATTGATCAGACGAATGTATAGAATTGTCAATGCTTCATGTGAAGTGCTTTGTTTTATCGTCTGTAATAATATGATTTATTTTAGGGACCAAACCCCCTACCACCGGATATACTAGTACTCCATGACTTATTTAGTTACCGATTTCATTATCATAATGTTTAGTACCGACGAACACGACAAATGAATACTCTGTCCTTTGATAGAGAACTGCAGTGACGTAACACAATATCAATATGTGGACACGGTTAATATGTTATATTATAGTTATATACATTACGTACAGCTGTAGCTAGGGTCATGAACCACATATATACTGAATGTATTGTGAGCGTGAATTACGCCAATGAGTGAAAAATCAGCAAGCATTGAATGGTGTAAAAATGAAGCTTTTAAAAAGGTACAGCGAACAATATACCAGTCCATGCATTGCGAAAGTTAGCGGTCCTTTCTAAACACACGTTGTCACATCTATTGAATAGAGTTGTATCTGTGCTTGGCCATAGCAACCTCTGTTGTGCTTTTATCAAGCGTTTTATGTAAACCCCGGGAGTGACCAACTATGGCGAGATGTATTAGACGAAAGTGGAATTTGACACTCGTGATAGCGCTACCAGGCACGAACTTGGGCGGAAGGTGAAACGTGGGCGTTATTTAAATTTGATCAATCTATTCAAACGCCACAATTGATTCAGCTACAGCAAAAAGGGGTGGATGTGCAGCAGAAACGACCGCGCAAACTACTCATGACAAGAACTTCGATTCATCTGTATCATTTTAATTAGGCTTCTAATTAGACGTAGATTAGTTGAATTATCATGTAAAAGAGTCGACGTCGATGTTAGATTAATGCTGGTATGCGCATCTGTTGTGTGTATTCTTACTCACCCACCGATGGCGGTGTTAGACTGGGAAGCGGCCGACCGAATGTAAATAACGCCCCCTCTGACAATAGCGTGAGGTTAGGGGCCAGCTATGTACGTGCGATCAATCTATTATAATATGAGAGAAAATAGTTTCACTAATACTTGAACTAATCTGCATGCAGCGACTTTAGATTCAGTCATATTGATTGGATACACTTTCTTTTTTTAGAGCAACCGAATTTTCCAGACGTTTCTTAATTACACCAGTGTTCACCTCTTGTGCCCTCGTACCATCAAACCTTAGATACATCGTCGATGTTTGGAGAATAAAGACCAGACTGCTGCACAGTCACCGGTTTTCGATAGGTAACAGGAATCAAGAAAGAATCGAATACATATAATTGTCCAAACCAGTGACATCGCCGTGACCTTGTCGCTGAATACATATGATATCACGTCATCATTTTTGTCTGCTAAGTTTATTTTTACAGCGTTACGTTGCTCAATGCGAACACTGGTGTAAACATGGCACATGTAATGCACAAAATAATGGCGACATCACTTACCGATTTACTGTTAATATTGTATGATTCTTTTTTCCAGCATCGTAGATTAACCGACGCACTGACTGAAGGCTAACTGCAGCACTTGAGCGGAATCTCACGGCTTGCCGTTAGCCATGGGAACCGTAAACAGTCCTGTCTTTATTCACTTATATTATGCAAATACAAGCATGTGTAAAAGGTTACTGAGGGCACGAGAAGAATACCCCAAGTACGTGACGGGGAGTGGGGCTGATCAGATACAATGGATACATTCAGATTATTGTATTGGGGTCCCGGTTGGGGTCATTCAACACTCACTCGGGTAAGCATCGTTTATTTTAAGGAATAGAGTGACGTGTCCGTTACGTGCACTGCACAGGGGTTAGGAAACAAGGGACAATTTCAATTAATTAAATATTAAAAGTGAGGTTGAAATAATATAACGTCGGTGATATTAGTCTGCCTAAATTTTTAAAACTGGCTTTAAATAAAAGAATTGAATTGAATTTACGTCGCGATGAAATCGAATTTGGAACCTTGTAAAACGTCACAGTCGATGTGTAGTGTTTGATATTGGTCGCATAGACCGAATACAACATGTGTCAAATACACTATTTCCACGATATTCGAACACGCACTTGCGACGACTACAGCGCTGTATGGTAAATGGTATGTTATAGTATGGAATAGCTCCTTATGTTTACCGACCGTTGAAATTATAATTGGGCCAGACTGATGAATAATTTGTTTAAATATTATTTAAATATAATAATTGTCGTTCTCAGTCATTAGCGATTTAGAGAACAAATAAAAGATGTATCTCGGGCCTTAAATTTTGAGATGAATTAGCTATGAATTAGTTTGGATGCCAGACCCCGTACACAAGATTTGACTTGAGAAAGAAAATAAAATTGTGTGAAAACAAAAGTGTGAACAAATAAAATAAAATACCTTCAATCTCGCCAATCGACTCATGTACATCCAATTCGCGAAACGTTCCGATTGAACGATGCAAACAATACACCAGTCCAACGTTTCAACTCGCCATAAATATAATTATGACATTTAAAACAACCAAAGGTGTTTTTTTACACACTGAGTTTGAGGTTTTAGTTTTAACAGAACGTGGGTAGTGCAATACAGTGTCAAAATCTATCTACATGCTACTTCGGTATATTGTACCATTAACATGAACACAATTCTCTTGTATCTGTTCCAATATATCAATGTAAATGAAAAAAAAAACGTGATCTTATATGGTTCTGTCAAAGTATTATTGGAAACAAACACATAACACACACATAACAATTCGTCGTTAACAAATATTGCAAAAATACATGTAAAGTAAAAAGCTATGTAAGCCATTATAGGTAAGAGTTAATAATCACAGGGACTAATATTGTGTATATGTGACATGGCATCGGAGACGAAGAATAATGATTGAATGGGCATTGGTCTCAACCAGCTCGTCAACTCAGAGGCCATTTCATATAATATGGACTTTATGTCAACCCTGATGCATAGTGGTCATCAACATAATCGAACAAAGGTTTTATGGTAGCGAAAAGATTGTGACTTTTGGACTCATTCTCATTATATCATATTTTCATATCTCATTCGAAAGGTCTATATACCATAAATTTTACATAGCCCAAAAAAGCGTAACACATCGAACATACACGGAAGTCATTTGTACTTTGTCACGGGCAGCCTATTTTGACAAAATGGTTAAACCCTGAATTTTCATACAATACCAGTACCAGTGCAAGCAAAAGCAAGAATGATTTGGGTCTAATATTCCAGCATAATATTATTACAACATGTAATTATAACAGTACTGCAGAACCGTAATAAATAACACATCATCAGGGTCTATTTGACATACGTCTAATGAGGAAATTACGTTAGTCATCTTGCAGAGAACCACTTTGTGCGCCGAAAATAGGAAACATTACACGAGTCCGACAGATTTAAGTCTCCCAAAAAGAAGCCATTCTCCAAAATACGAATGCCGCGAGCCTAGGAAGTAGACAGAATGTACTCCATTTACATTGCTGGGTGTGCCGCCGATCATTATAGTCGAATCTACAATATCACCGACATTATGCAGGCATTACGTAACAGTTACCGACCAAATAATTCACTGATTGTTTTCAAATAATATATACTTCAAGTTCACCAATAAACAATTAAATATTCACTTTATCTAAGCCCTCACAAGGACATTATGTACCTGTTTAAATGGTTTGAACATCCAGTAAGTGGCATCCCGGCAAACTTCAGGTATTTGAAGAGCCACAAAGAATGATCTAGGCTTAAAGAAACTTTTTCATGTATTTTAAAACATTGTTCTCGATCTCGCTATATTAATGCCCTTTGTTTTTTTGGACAGATACTTGTATATGTTACATCTAACTAGAAACCTAAGCACAAACTTTTTCTATGTCTGCGATAGCTTCTGCATGGGCGATAGAGAAACCAATAGACCTGTTTAGGTGCACTGAGTAGGGGATGATTTGCTGCACGTCAGCAACGTTAAACTCTTTCATCTCCGTTTCCAGAAAACGCTGGAACAATTCTGGATCTCCATCAAGAGTAATCATCATTTTCCAATCAAGTTCATCTCTCTTCAGCCTCTTTTTCACCGCCCTCGTGTAGACATCTTTCAAAGTGGAGGATGGTTTTAATTTCATACTTGAATCCTCAAAGGTCATCCCAAGCTCCTGTCTTTGTAAATTATCTTCAATATGATGAATCATGTATATTGTTCTGTATGGCCACTGGTCTAACAAAATAGTCCACATCACCATCTCTCTTGGAAGAAACTTTGGACCACCGGATACTTTCACTAAATTTGCTGTTACGCAAAGTTGATTAAAGAGCCTCTTGATGTTTCTAGGGTTACCAGACACATAATCCAACATTTCCTTCGTTTTAAACACTGCAATCAATTCTTTCATGTATGCATCCTCTCCCTCTTCTTCTTCTTCAGAATTGCAATCATTCTTTACACCGAAAAAGTTGTTACCGCCACTATCCCGAACCTTGATACTTGCTAATCTGGTCCATTTGCTCCCTTTCTTCGATGGCTGTGTTTGAGTTGATGTTTTAATATTATCTTGGGGCTCTACAATCCTTGTAGAGGCATCTCCTTCTAGCTTCTGTAGAAACTTTCGTTTTGTTTTGTTTGTCATAGTCGGAATACAAAACTGTAGTTGAAGCATTTTCTTGAGATATTCGTGCCCACTCAGGTAAGCATTCTTCGACAACTTGCCGAGGCTTTCCTCTATTGCTTCCACAATAACTCTTGAGTCAACTGCAAAAATACATATGAATGGTGCAAATTCGTCAGAAAGTAAAATGTTCAGGGCTTCAACAACCTGTACAGCTTTCTGTTTCGGACATCGATCTAAATCATCTACCGTGATGACAATGCGAATTGGACGCTTTTTATAGTTGGACATCCAATTAATAAGGCCAGATGCAATCTTCACTTCTCTTTTAATGTCAGCCATGAAGCCTAACTTAGAGGACATATCAGGCCTGTTGACCATGCTTTCAATCTTATCTGATTGAGAGTACATAAATGTAGTGACGATATTCCATCCTTGTTTAGCATTGACTAGTAACGCACCACCCAAAACAGTAGAAAGAGCAGCTTGCATACCGATGATAAAGTCCCAAAGTCCCTGGTCTTCATCGCCACTAGTCGAGTTAGTAGTTGATTGTCTTTTGAAAGATATAGCCCCAGTGGCAATATTGATAGTAGAGACTATAACTGCAATGATCAAAAGTATGAACAGGGCCAACAAGACAAAATTGGGAATCCAAATATATCTGAAAAATCGGGTCTTCCGCAATTTGGGAGAATCTTGGTCTTTTTCCCTTTTAGCTTCTGTTAAAATCTCCCAAGGTTTTACAATGATTCGAAAGAATCGTGTTTTCCAGTATCCAGCATGGAATTCCACCCTGGCTACCAATTTCGTGACTATTCCTGCCCACAAATTATCGCTTCCAGCATACTCCCACGCTCTGAAATCCACGTAGACGAAGTCAACTACATCAGTTTTCTCAAACAATATAGGGCTTGGAGGGTAGTAAAATAGTATACGTAGAAATAAGATCAAGTTACTCCAAAAGGTGTCCTTTTTAGCAGAACGTTTGTGATATTCTTCATTCATTTTCTTTAGACGATCTGAAAATGAAAAAAAATATTTCCAATATTGATCACTTACTAAATCATTTCAATTTTTAGATACTGTATTATAACATATTGCACTAATGTACACTTATTATCATCAGGAATACAATAAATGTACTATAAAACGTATAGTACGTATGTACTTTAATAATCTGTATCATTTTGATACTGTGTGTGTCATTGAGAAGAGCGTTTCAATGAAGTAAACTATCTAACACCAAGACCAAGACCATCACGTAATAACGCGAAACTCGGGTAATGTTTCAATAACAGGATGTTTTTGTTTATTATTCCAATTTGTAGGACTATAGTAATGCAATGATTGATTGATTGATTGATTGATTGATTGATTGATTGATTGATTGATTGATTGATTGATTGATTGATTGATTGATTGAGTGTAGTAATATTTCTTTATACTTACTTGTCAACATTTTCAGTAAGAATGTTTTACCAGAACCCCATGGAGCAAATATTCCTATCGTGAGAGGCGTCTGCAGTTGAGAACTATATAACGCGTTAGCTAAACCTTTGGCGTAGAATTCATGATCAATTGCATCTGCCGTGAAATCTCGATCGTTTTGGAGATCAAAACCAACTGGTAGTTTTTCATTTTCTGTTGGTGTTATAACAAGACAGAAAGCGTTAATTACATTTATCAAAATAATAATTGATCACGTGCAGGTTCATCACTGGTAAACTGATATTATAATCATTGTAATCATTGTGTCAATTAATTCATATCAATAATTATAAAAACACTTTACATGGCGTTACATTAATTTTAAGTAAAAAAAAAACGTCTATTGAGCAATGTTGTTTTCAATTTATGTTTGTACATTTTTGCTTCAAGACATTTGTAGTGATCTAATTGTTGGGTAATGATGTAATTGCAATGAACATACTTATCATATCATAAAGAAGTGACGATGTACAGTACGTAGAGTATCAGTGGAATGCTTACCAAACAGTTGAGCCTCTGCATCAACAAATCCAAATTTGGCTAAGCGTTGCATCCGTCGATTGGCGTACTGCAGTGGTTTTTCTTCACGTACGTTAAGGTTATGTTCAAGCTCAGGGCATTTCTTCATGAGGTACATACCAGCATCATTGGAACGGCATTGAAAGGCTACGTGTAGGGCAGTGTCCTATGTGATATAATAAATAGGCAATCAATTGATGCGTGTGTGGAGCTTGTTAGACTGGGAAATATTGTTTTTTCTTGTGGGTCATACATCATTGATATCATCCAACCGGAAATGTCTTTCTCGTTGTACTGGAATCACTTAGCTGGAACATTAGAGTGGCGTGAATGTGCACGTGTGATATCTACAATAATATGAACACGAGCGAAATATGTAATAATGCGTTTGTTCAATAAGGTATTAAAATGAAAACCCATTATTAGGGATTCCTTGGGTAAAAGGTATAATTTCCCAGGTTTTACAATTCCAATCACGTTCATATGCGACCAGGTAGCAGAGGTGCGAGGTTGACTTCCAATTTGTGAAATATTCAATTTTATTTTACTTAGTGCTATAATTATTATCACTGAGCTTACCCCTTCTGAATTCAGTTGGTTCAATGCATGAGAGTCATACTCGTTTCCAACAAGACGTTCCATTAATTCAAGATCATTCTTCATTGCTGCAGCAGAAAGGTCATCGCCCTTTAAAGAACATTATATGAATGTGATTGGTGAGGTTGCTCAGAGAGGCAGCAATGAATGCCTTTATTACAGTTGGATTGCGTCAGAAGTAAACTTACTTTGGCCCCAAAAGCCATCACTGACAATCAAATATCAGCTATAGGTTTGATCGCCATTTATTTAATTTATATACAGTCCATGCCTTGTTGAAAATAGTTTGTAGTTTGAGTTCTATACCAAAAGGAAAAAATCCCATGCGATATGTTGATTGGGTGAGTAATTCACGGCTTAAATGGAAACGTGCTGCCACATTGGTAAGAAAAATGAACTTTCTTGAGAAATATTCCCAAAACAATAAATAGCAATACGGCATTCAATATTGTTATAACAGTTTAAGTGTATCAATTATCAAAACCAAGAAAGAAAGAAAAACTCACAGCATTATTGAATCGTCTTTTCTTGAGATGAACATGCAATTTAAAGATGTGGCAGGTTTCGCTTTTGTCCAATAGAAGTGTTGGAGGGCCAGTGTTAGGATCATGGTCGGGAAAAATAGCTGTCAATATCAAATACGATGCTCCTTGAAGTGTACCCGATAGCTGCTGTGATCCTATAAAATGTACAAGACCTTTAGGGCAATTGATTGTTCGAGTACGAGAATATTATATATTACTTCTTCTTCAGTAACTTAGATTTTGTATACGCTGTGTTTTCAACACAAACCAATACAATACAATACAATGCCAAGGCAAGTTATGCTCTAAAAAATGGATAAAATTGATTTCTAAAACTCTTACGGGGACAGGAGACTGGGGCAGATTCAATTATTTTAATTTTAGGAATGTCATAACGTGTGATAAATGCTGTATGATCCAACTGTCAACATCTTTGAAATTGAATGACGTCATTTACGTCGTTTCAGTACTAGTTTAAACCTCAACCTGTGCGTTTGTGGGAGTAAGGACTAAGGAGTCCTATTGTTGTTTGTTTAGAAGTAACTTGAATAAAAAAATACATGTAAATGAAGGCAAAAAGAAATGGCTAAAATATTGGAGAACGGAAAATAATAATAACGAAGACGAGGTTTTTTGGTTTGATTCGACATGAGAAATCATTTGAGCCGGAGTTATACTTACCACCTGGCCACTCCATGCATATGGGGTCATCTTTACCTCGGCGGGTACTGAGTCGCCATTGTACAGCGTCGTTGCGGGCGCACTTGATTTCACCACGGTCGATTACATATGCACCAAAATCGAATTTCCATGCGACAAATGAGACGTTTTCCCACTCGCCTGGCTAAATAAAAAAAATGGAACAAACGATTATAATTCTCAAAATTACGGAGCCATATTTCTTTAATGCTGAGTTACAATCGGTCTGCCCGTTAATTAATGATAATTTGATGTAGATTATGGACTCGATTATGAACTATTTTTATTTGCGCTGTCGTATGCCATCCGGTAACCATAAAAACAATATCGACGCTGTGCAGAGTGGCTCTCCTGTCACCTATTACGTAACATAAGTACTTCTAGATAAAGTTTATCAATATAATTTGTATTTATTTTGAACTTATTTACCATAGTCGCACTTTTGTAGGCGATATTTCTGTGCAAGTAAGTGCCTGCTTCCCATCCATCGAGACGTGTGATAACTCCTTCATTCCGGTCTCCACGTTCATACTGGCCTCGTTTTGATGAGTACTGCAGGTGAAATGTGCCGATCTCTCGTTCTTTCTGGTTCAGCACGAACACGTTTCCTTTGGCTCGACAGAACCGCTGACGAGACAGAGAAACTAAGTTGGTGAAATGGTTTACATGGTCGCGTTGACAGCTGAAAAGTTGATCTACGTACAATTTTACATTTTATGTATTCATTGACATAAAAAACAATATTTATGTAGCATTTCAGTCTCGTGCTAATATAAAGTGCGAAGTGTTAATATTGACCTGAGAATAGGTGTGAGTATTTAACGTGTCTTAAAATTGCACAAAGATAATTTAAATGTAAATGCGCTGTTACACAAATACACTTTTTATTTCAGTTACATACCTCTTTTTCGTGATTGAAAATAGTCGTCATCATTTCTGCGCGTGTTATCCATAAAGCACGTCCATTGACTAACGGAAACATAAGAAAGGCATGGTAATTATCTTGTTTTATCTTTTCAAGTATTAAGTAAGTAGTGGTGCGTATGTCCCGGGGATAACTCGCTTTCTCAAAGGCGGAGAGTGGAGTTAAATGCACATTTGACCATGAAGTTTGGATGTACCAATTTGCACTGAAGTTAGCAGGCGCGGATTATCCTAACGTAAAAACCGGCACATCTTCCCTTTAAAGTAACAATTATGTCCACTGGGCCGATAATTTGGTTCACACGAGTACTTACGAGCTCATAATATCGAAGTGCACCGGGCCAGAATACGTGTCGCACTGGCCTCTGGGACTTTAACAGAACTGACACGCCTTGGTAATTGATGAATCGGTCGAATCCGTGCCGCGGGCCTAGTGTATTTGCTATTTATTTATTAACTATTAAAACATGCGGAACCTCGTTGCCAGTTTTAATATGTTTTTCCTACTCAGAGACAATTAAATCAAGAGTGACGTGAACTAAATCCCCCATACGTGTCACCTACCCGACCCGTCAGTATGGTTTTCTATGTTTGCCATTTTGTTTATGAATGTGAGAATAAACAAATCAGATATTTGTTGGCTTTTGATATTTTTAACTACAATATTTTATTTTTGAAATTGTAAACGGGGTAGGACAATAATTTGAATCAAATATCTAAAATACGACCATCACCATATTAACGAGATGGAAATGGAAATTATATTAAATAAGTCAAGGGATGTGTTGATATTATTTAGTGCATATCACGTATTCACTCCATACAGGCGTTTCTCTACTATTGTATTCATTATTAAAGGAGCTCGGACAGGGACATTTTATACAATGATGATTTGAGGTCAGGTGCTGCACCTTTTGTATGCAATTGGAACGTACTATGTGAGCACTGAATGATATAAGAATGCTTCTTTAGATGGGTACAAAACATCAGCGAACAAAAGAATCAAAATAAAGTTCTTCAATAGCTCGCCCGTGAATGAAAAAAAAAGAAAGTTACCGACTCATGTGTTTCAGAGGTTTTAATGAGTTTTTTTTTTACGTAGTCCCTTGTGACATTATCATGAACTTGGACTTAATATATGTTCAAATTAAACCTACACAGAAATTAACTACGAGATGCACTTGTCGTCCAGGGAGAAGAATGTCGATTTAATGATTCAGACAACAAATTAGCAACATTATGTGTATACTATTTAGTTCATAGTTTAACAATTGCCCTCAAAAAGGGCGTCACAAGCAATAAACTTTGAATATTATTACTAATTCATTTAATCGGATATTTGGCTCAATAGAAATTGGGGATTAAATTCGTGAATGTGTTTTTAATTCAATAATATACTAACAAACATTCCAGCGACCAAAGCAGAATTTTGGACATTCATTTAAATATAGCACTAACGAAAAAAAGTTGTATATATGTTTTGACTGTATTGTGTTGAGCTATACCACGTTGCGTTGTGTACGTTGCAAATCGCCGACTAAAAAAAACAAAAATGACTGAGACACGTACAATCAGGTTTAGAGCTTAATCTCTTTAAGAATTGTGAGAGCATAGTTTTACAAAAACTTGTACTAAGCTTTTATTCAGACATGAATGGCTATACTTTCTACTTTTACTGCAACAGAACTCCCCCTGACGTGTCTTGATTACATTTAGTGATTCAGCCATGTGCTCCCCGAATGTTAACTATCCGACTACTGTAACAATGCACGAGTATCTCAACTATATACATTGACGATATTTTGGAAATTGAGGCTGGACTGTTGAAGTAGTTGAGGTAGTATTACACTTGCTTTCGTTTCGGTATTTTTTTTTTCTGACGAAGCAAAATTAGATGTATTCAATCATTGTCGCGACACTTATAATGTAACCATCGCACATGTTCATACGTGTTATCAAGTCAATGGATAATACAACAAATACAAACTAATGACGGATAGGTGCGTTGTTCTGAAAGTTTGTAATAGCCTGAGACCAATCCTCTTCAGTAGATAGGCTCCACGCACGGTGCAGCATATTATAAAGGTGCAACTATTCGAGCCAGTGAAACCACCATTTTTACATCATTGCGTACTGTCGGAACACTAACACGAACATAGGACATGTAATGTACGGGTTGGTGGAAGCATCACTTACCGGTTCCCTGTTATTATTGTTCGAGTCTTCAGTCCTTCGAGCACCGTAAGGTAACAACTGGCAGCAGACTGACTGTAGGTTATCCTATGTTCTATAGGTATTATTGAATTACATTACTATTTGCAATGTAATTCGGGTTAAAAAAAACAGCGCCCGCGGGCGAAGTAAGATATCCACGGTATGTACAGGGGTTTCCATGGAGCATGACAGTGTAAACAGCACTGTCCCTTTTCACATATATCATGCAAATACGAGCATGCGTAGAAGGTTAGCCGAGGACACGAGAAGAATAAACAAATGACGTGAATGTGACAGGGTTTGATATAACGAATGCATTCAAACTATTGAGATCTTACAAAGATCAAGCCGTTGTCGGAACGGCCGGTACCATTTATTTTGAGGGATGAAACAATATTACTACGGGGTATAAAATAACAAATATCAACAGACTGTACCTTCAGGTGTAAGAAAGTAAATTTATCAACTAATAAAACATAAATAATTTACTTCAAAACGTGTTCGATGCACTTTAGTATTATGTATAACAATCTACACGACGATCCTAACCTTTTGCTGGTAACATGGAAAGTCGCTCACGTGCTAAAAGAAACCCAGCCCCCCTCCCGCCACATCGTAATTTTTTTTGGAAAATGAATTGTAAAAATCACAAGTTTTTCACCAACTTTTATTACCAGAAATAGATAGACGAGCATTTATCGGACTTTTTTCGTGAGAAACCTACGAGTAAATCATGAGTTGTAAACAAAAAACGTTGTAAAACACCAATTGCGTGAATACTATAGGCGAATATATTTTCACGCTTAATACAAAGGAGCGGCCAATCTCCCACTCAGTCAAAGTTATATTTCTACGAATATATCTCTGCCACCACGAGATCTTATGATCGTCGTTGATTGGTCGATGCATTACAGTGGCACTGCTTATAAAAATGACCACTGAAACGCGATGTTTGTAAATTCCGGCTGTTTTCAAAGTGAGAATATATTTTTTTCTAGTTAGGCCAGACGTTTTTTTATTCCTTGTCTCTCGAGTTTTTATAGGGCAATTTTTTTGAGAAGGGCTGAAGAAAATAAAATTAATTCTTTTTTTCCATTAGATTTGTGTGATTCTCAAAGAATTGTGAGTGAGATCATTGAACGGAGAGAAGAAATGAAATAAAATGTTATTCTATGTATAACCTCGTTTCTCATCTGCACGAAAATGCAACTTGGGCTTGTTATGCGGCGTGGGAAAAAATGAAGATAAAAATCATTTTTTTTAGCAATGCTTTGCACTTACAAGTCGGCGGGCGCGAGATATTACGCTGAAATAAAATGTTATTTTTATTTCACTTTCGGCTCCTGTTCATTCGGCGGGTTCGCTAAACAAGGGATAATAAAAGTCTGGCCTTAGCCGTTTGATTATATTTCTTCGCCTGGAAATCGACAGGACGGTCAGCTCGATGAACCAAGTAACCTCTTAGTAACCGCGTTATTCCGCGATGAAATTATTTATTCGTAAATTATTAACTATTTAACACTTTCAAGCGTTTTCGAAACAAAATCCTTATCATCCAACAATAATATATTTCAAAAATTGTAAGAAGAAATCAACACGAGAGCCCTCTGATGCCAAAAAACACGACAAGAATGCGCGTAGTAAGAGTCTTGTGGAGTTTCACCACAAAATGGGTGGTGCAGAGATACTTTCGGTGTTCTAGAAAATAAGCCATAACTGTCGGTGTTCACAAACCCATGAACCTTTGCATTTTAGCGGGCGTTGTTATCGGGCTCAATTCCCATGCATGCGCAGGTGACGGTCCTCCCGCTTTAAATTAACATATTCGGGTGAAAAGGCCGATAGGTAGATAGCCAATGTATGTATTTGACCTATTTCAGATGACAAATGTGTCGAATGTCATTTTAAGTGACATGCATTGACACTAGGTGTCGCCGGTAATAAACTGGAGACAACTTACACATTGCAGAGACAAAACGTTTAAGGGACGACGTCAAAAGATCGATGTCGGATAAAAAACTTATTTCCTTTAGTTTGGGGGTGGGGGTTTTGACCTCAAAAAGTTTCCATCCTACAAAAACAATTTTATTTTTTAATGAAGTCAAAAAAATCTTGGAGTATTTGTAGTTCTATCCAATCTTGGACAGAAATAACCGAAAAGGGGAAAAAAACAGAAAAATGGTTTGGTTCGAGTGTAAATCTGTGCGTCAAATGCATTTGTAAACACCCACCCGACAACCAACTGCTATGCAATACTACTGTCCGATTATCAATTTGTATTTAATGGTGAATGTAGTCTGACGCCATGACCAATATTTATCAATTAAGTTTCAGTGGGGGGTAGGGGGGTTTGGAAAAAAACTAAAGGAATTGAGTTTTTTATCCGACATCGATCTTTTGACGTCGTCCCTAATATATATTACAAATGTCTATTTATAAAACTTATCCGAACTGACAAGGAACAATATGAATAAATA